CTCCACTCATGCTCTGTCTCTGTCTCTCTCAAAAATAAATAAACTTGGGAAAAAAAAAAAGCTATCTCAAGGAAATGTTAGCCAAGCTTTAACCAAAGTACAAGGACCACTTTTTTGGCAAAACTTGCTTAACAAGTGAATTACATTTGTATCTAAGTCACCACCTAATCCTTTCCATTGCAGGGATCTATCAATTTATGAGACAGTTGCAAACCAAGTTTATCAGCTTTAACAAAATGAGGGGGGAGGATGTTAGAAAACAGAAGAAAAAGGCATAACATAAGGAAAAGCAAATACAGTGTCATTTTAAAATGGAAAAGTTTATAACTAGAATTATCAAGTTATAAAAATCTAAAGTTCCTGGGGCGCCTGGGTGGCGCAGTCGGTTAAGCGTCCGACTTCAGCCAGGTCACGATCTCGCGGTCCCCGAGTTCGAGCCCCGCATCAGGCTCTGGGCTGATGGCTCAGAGCCTGGAGCCTGTTTCCGATTCTGTGTCTCCCTCTCTCTCTGCCCCTCCCCCATTCATGCTCTGTCTCTCTCTGTCCCAAAAATAAATAAACGTTGAAAAAAAAAAAATTTAAAATCTAAAGTTCCAGTGAGCATATTTCTATATTTCAATTGATAACTATGTTATAGTTATTCATTTTTTTAAAAAGGTCTTCCTCTACACTTTCACAGTAGTCCAACTACAGTTCTCACATCACAACAGAATGTATAAAAATTCATTTGTTTAGCATTCCATCTCATGTGCATCCCCTATGTATCACAGCACCCGGCCCAGAATTTGGCTCATAGACTATCAGAGAACCCACTGTCTATACAGTCTCCACTTATAAAGACTTAAGATACAATGGGTGCAAATTACTCTTAAGTCACATTTGGATCATGGACTATGATACTGGATGCGTTCCAGGGATTTCTACTTAAAAATACAATTCCTGTAAAAATGTGAGCAGTATGGTAGGATCGCTTAAAGAAACTAATTTAATGGCCCAGATTTTACTATTCAGAGATTTTTTTACATCACCCTGACAATTTGGTCTCCTGGGTAATGGTTTATGTTGCTTTGCTCAAAGAATGAGCAAATGAACGAACGAATGCAAAAGATATATAAACACTAGCTCCTTGCCTGAACATTGTACTAAAGATCAAAAGAAGAATAAAAATCAAGTCTTGCCATTGCCAAAGGTTCTCATAATGTCCTTAGAGTCAAGGACTCAATGTCCTAATGAGTTCATCTCCAAAGGATCCAATCTTCTACATAAAATAGGCATGGTTCCTTTACCAACCAACCCTCAACAAAACTCACAAAAAAACTTACGTATCTGAAAAGCCTATCTATATTTACACATAAGTATCTGACATGAAGGAGTTAAATAACTGAAAAAAATAGTTCATATCTTCCATTTAATTGCTTATTCTGATGAAAAGAAAAACTTGACCTTTCTAGAAAGCACTCTGGAAGCATGACCTTGCTTTCCAGAGGAAAGGAAGTAAGGACTTCACATGATAATTTATGTATAATGATGCTCATCGCAGGATTATTTATAATGACAAAAAAATTAGAAGCAATCTAAAACATTCAACAATGAGAAAATGGCTAAATATGGTGCATCAGATAAGGAAACCCTGTGCAGCCATTAAGTGGGGGCAGAGGAGGTGTCAAGATCCATTTAAAAGAATAGGAAAATAATCCTATCCCATGAAAAAAAGGCAAAAGCTGATTATATTAGATCTCAATATAATTTTAAAAACATATATATGACATATATACACACATTTATAACCAAAATAAATGAATAGAAAAAGGAACGAACAGAAATATATACACTTATATTTTAACATATTTCTCTGGATGGTAAAAATTGTGGGTTTTTAATTTTCTTTGTATCTTTCTGTATTTTCCAATTACCCACAATGAGAGGAAAGTATCATTTTTTCTTTTTAAAGCCTTCTATTCTTACAGGTAGATGTCTGGGTATATTTTAAGAAAACCATTTCATTTTTGTTCAGGGGGTAGGGGAGTGGGGTAGGCATAGATTCTAGAATCCAGCCTTTAATTATGAATTATCTAAACTCATCCAACTAGGTTTACCGGCTTACTAAGAATAGACAAGCAGGGACTGAAAACTACTATGAACTAACCTGTAATCCCACAATCATGGAATAACAAAATATTATAAAATAAGAGAACTATCTTTATAAAGAATATTGCTATGTAACATAAGGATCAGTTTAGAGCAGTCAGAAATGAGAAATTCCTTAAAATAAAAGGGTCAAACAGTGAAGCAGAGACAGACACAAAACAAGCTCGATGCAATGAACAGCACTGTTTAAACTGTGTGCCAAGTATATCTTATGGTGCAGAAAAGTTTAAGAACTCTTCTCATGTATACCCAATGTACTTGAAATACCAACTAACCAGGAGGTGCTTAATATTTACATGCAAATGTGGATAAAATGTATACATGTACATCTCACCACCTCTCTAGGAAAATGTGCTTTCTTGTGCTGCTCTAACCTGGTACAAAAGCCGCTAAATCCTAAAGAAGGTCTGAAAACAGCAGCCTCATGATATCTAGACATTCCTTCAAGCTGTAAGGTTATTATGAATTCATATATGAGTAAAGAAAAACCATTACAGTCATAAAAAGTTACACATCAATGAAAAATGATCACTTTTTGAAAAATGTTTTAGAGAATGTGCTCTATACCATTTAAGATACTGTCATAATAAATCATAATTTGAATTTTCACTGTATTATTTAAAAAATCCTCTTAAAGCTAGAGTATGATTCTTTCCCTACTGGTTTCACCCTCCTCAGTTTGGCAAACGTTGGATTTTCTCACTTACACTAAAAAATAGAGCCAAAATTAGCAGCTTTAAATATAGTGCGTTATGCCAATACCATGCCCTGCTTTGTTTTTGTGGCTTTTTTTCTTTTCTTTTTTTCACTCCCTCAATTATCAGCAATATCATATACTGCCAGGAACGTCAATCCCTTCACTTTAAACTGTTAGAACAACTCACCTGGGGCATACAAAATATGGCTAGTCTACAAAAATGGCAGACAAAGTCCACAGGGCTTACTTGATGAGAGATTATTTACATCATTTTAATTAAAAAATAATAATGAAAACAGATGCTATGTTAACATTCTACTTCAGAGTCTACAACCCAAATACTCCAGGAATTAATGAGCTGATAAAAACCAGGTAAGGTTTCTGAATACTAATAAATATTAGCTTTCACTATCTGGGTAAATTGTTTTTTAAAAGTAAACTATCAATATAATGGTGAAAAGAAAAGCATTGAAATATTTTTATTTTTAATAAGCTAAAGTGACATTAGTAATTGAAATGATGAGATATGGTTCCCTCAAACATATTTAGATGAATAAACCCTAGTTCTTTCGTCCACTATGTAGCTTGTGTGGTCTTGAAGAGGTCAATTTCCTCTCTCTAAACTTAAAATCTGTCTGTATCTGTAAAGTGCAGGTGAAACCAACTTTTTGGATTTATCAGTTTGGAAAGGAGTGACAAATGGGAGAACACTTTGTAAATGAAAAATCACTATGCAAATGCAAATCATAGTATTTCTATTCTGATTGAAAAAAATTAAATGTTCTTTCTGTTTTAAAACTATCAAAAGCTTAATGTATGAAGATTTAATATTAGAAATAAAAACTATACTTAAATACTAAACATCACGACTAAAAACACAGCTCCAGATTTCTAAGCAGAAAACTGAGATCAGACAGAATCCTTGAACAGTGAAATATGGTTTTTCCTCTTACTGTTACCTATACCTTCAACATATTTCAGATATACCTACCAGAAACTATATTACTGCTAATTATCTTGCCCCCCAAGGTAGCTAATGATTTGGGTACTACTGTAATGATGCTACCACTGGTAGTTTTCACATAGGTTGCAGCTCCTGGGGTTGCAGCCATCCGACCTATGGATGGGCTCACTGTTGGCCGGGTATAGGTTGCCTGTGTGCCTATAAAAAGGGAAAAGCCAAAAGAAAAACTTGTCATTACTTATAGAAGAATGACAATTTACACAGTTTAACTATAATTCAATGTAATCTATATTGCTTTAACTTGAAAATGGAATTTCAAGGTGTCAAGACATTAAGTAACAATTTATAGCCAATTTTCAATGCACATAGCAGGAACTACAGCCAAGTCAATTTGAATTAACTTTACACATAAAATTTTGTGATGTGTCGCATCAAATTACTAACCCCAAGAAAAAATATAACTAACTCTATTCCTTTCTTCCACTACCTTCTTCCACTAGTTTTATGCCAAAAGAAACTTAAATTTAATCATCTTTCCTGCCAGAGCGTTTTAGATATTTCTGTTATAGATTTTAAGGTCTCTGCATCTGTTTCATACTGTCTCAGTGCCAAACCCAATGTCAGCACTCAGCAAATAAGGCAGTATTGTTTGCTTAAAATTTTATAAACTTTTACTATTTTGTACTCTGCTACTCTCTAAATATATTTCCATCTTTTAAAGAGTTATTCCATCATTTTACTAGAGATTAAAGTTCAAGCTGCCAAGAGTTGCCAGGAATATTTCTTTTAGTCTAAAAAGTTCACTATTTACATATTTCCTCAACTCTAACTGACCCATTGGAGTATTTTTCTTCATGTCTCTCAAAGGATTTTATACTCTTTCCCACTATTCCAAGGACTTTTTTCTTTTCCCAAACAGGAATTAAAAACTAACCAGATGAGCCCATTGTAGTTTCCTACAAATACAGTAACTCAGAACTACTATTCCTAAGCAAAGAACGACTAGTCTGGGGGAGAATGAAGATGACTGAGATTAACATCTTCAACAGAAAAAAAAGTTTCATAATAATGGTCATTGTGATAACCATTCTCAACAAACCCCACCCCACAAAAATGCTTTTTAGCAAGACATTTAAAAATTTTTAAATACAATCACTACCCAAAAAAGGCGGAGGGGAAGAATGTTAGGTAGAATTAGTTTAAATTCCTTATAAACATACATCTGCATCCAAAAAAAAATCTAGTGCAAAGTAAACATGCTACAAATGTAAGGTGAATCAGTTGAATTATAATAACAAAAAATTTTCCATTTAAGCTTTTGCTCTAAAAATAGGAATACTTTTTCTAATGTAGATACAAAGGCACAGACAGACACATTATTATTTTTCACTACCTTTCGCTAATGGAAAGAATCATACATATATAACACTACTATCTTTATACCAAATGGGAAAAAGGTTTGGGGGAAGTATGATAAATGTAATGCAAGAATAGTGTTTTTTAAGCCAAGGCTTTGTAGAGACAGCAAGTAGAATCGTTGTTGGGATGAGGGGGGAGTGGGTGGAGGGGAGATGGAGAGTTACTGTTTAATGGGTAGTTTCAGTTTGGGAAAATGAAAAGGTTCTGGAGCCAGATGGGGAGGATGGTTACAAAATAATATGAATGCAATGAATGCCAATGAACCATTCATTTAAAATGGTAAATCTCATGCATGTTCTCTATATACCACAATTAAAAAAAAAAAAAAAAAAGCACATCTGAGAGTCAAACAGATCTGACTGAGTTCAAACCCCAGATCTGCCTTTTATTGGTTGTGTGACTTTGGGCAAGTTTCTTAACATAAGTCTGTTTTGCTGCTAAAAGTAGAGATATTAAAGTCTAAGGGAAATGAAGTGTAATGCCTATACAAACCTTTACATCCTGGCCCATAAATGGCATCTTTATAAACTTGAGACAGATACCATTTTACACTCTTTAGATTCTATCATCTAAATATTGGCTCTTCTCAAAAAAATCTGGTAAGAGTTACACAAATTTAAAATAACAGTAATGACTAATTCTAATGTAAATTAATAGTAATTACTATTGAGCACTCTGCTGGGGACTTTACATACCTGATTTCCTCTCATTCTTATAATAACCTATGGTACAGGTATTGTTGTCCCATTTAAATAGACCACGGAAAAGATTACAGGGATTAGTAACCTGCTCAAGAACACAAAGGATGGTACTATCTAAAATGTCCTACACTGTCACTTCCTTGGGCATAGCCTGGTTGCTCCCATATCTGAGCAACATGGCATCTTGTGCTTCTCTCAGTCTGAGCAATGTTTACTACATGGCAATGTAATAGACTCTCAACTTCTTAAGAGTAAGTGAGATCCTTGTGGGCTAGGAGACCGTGTTTCCATTCCCTCAACAAATCCTGAACTAAACACATACTCCAAGACCAGCTCTCTCTATATACGGTGAATAAAACAGAGATGGTCCCTTATCATGGATCTTATGGTCTAATTGAGTAAACAAATCAACAAACAAGTAGTGAAGTACTTAGAAACTGTAGTATGTGCTATAAAGGAAAAGAACAGAGGACCATGACAATAATAAGAGAGAGCTAATTTTCATTGGGGGGAAAAGGGGAGTCAAGAAAAGCTCTTAAAGAATGGTCTCATTATCTCTATATCCCCAGTGTAGCACATTGTTGCTACAAAGAAATTACTCAATGAACATATGATGAATGAATGGACTAATGCTCAAGCAAACTTACCAGTAGGAGTGGTTACCAGCTTAGTTGTCATAATTGCACCATTACTGCTAACCACCATAATAGGGGAATTGCTACTGGTGGGCAGAGTTGCTGTCACTGGCTTAGGTAAGATTTTACTTGGCTGAACTTGTTGTGTGATGATTTTAACACCTTTGAAAGAAGAAAGGGAAATCTCAGTACAATTATTTTCGAAAAGATATTCCTTATACCAACCCAAGAGGGCAGCAGTTACACACAGTCACTCAGTCTTGCCGAAAGAGAAGCTTTTTCCATAATGATGAAACTCTCAATTTGTATTCCTCAAATTCCCATCTTTCCTAATTTCTCATTCAGGAATATAATTAAGGTATTATAGAAGCTATTAACAACTTCTTTTAAAAAAAAAGGTTTTTCCTTTTGTCTATGATTATGTCATATAAAGAGCTTTCAAACCCAATTAGTGTAGTGATGTGGATTTTTTTACATTTTTCAAAATTGTTATTTAAATGTTATAATTGTTACATTCACTTTCCAAATGTAAAATACCCATTGAAAAGAAATCTTTCAAAAACAATAAAATAAAAAATAAAATGAATCTCTCATGCAAAGTACAAATTTAAGTACAAATAACTGAGGAAATTCTGGTAACACTTTTCCCCTGCTAAACTTCATTGAAATAATCTACATAACAGTGTATTGCAACAGTGTATTGGCAAATAAAAATTATATTACTTTATGGATGGTGATTGAGACATGAGAAAGCAAACAAATCTGTTCATTTAACAACCTTAAATAATTTTAAATTTCTTGTAGTCAATTAAGAAGTTAAAATTATGACACCTAGGAATAACTGGGGGCAAATTATTTAGTCTCTGTAACTCAATTTTTTCATCTATAAAGACAATATCAGTATATAAATCAAAATTATAAAGTGCCTAATACATAGCAAGAATTCAATAAACTATTATTATTGTAGAGATAAAGAAACTATTATTTATTATAATAAATTATAACCAGTGAAGTTGCATGGAAAAAATTTTTTATAGTATTACCCTATAAGTGAATTACAATAATGCTTAGGACACATAAAAAGAAGCCCCCCAAAATAACAGAAAAAACACAATGGAATCATTAGAGATTACATGGCTTAGTCCTATGTAAATAAGTTGAAAATTTAGATCAAACAGATAATTTTCTAGAAAAATATTGTTTATCAAAATGGACCTCAGAAAAGACAAGTGTCTAAACAGACAAATTTCCTTAAAATAAATTTTTAGGAACTCCTTCCCCTTCACCACTAAATAGCAGGAGGCCCAGACAATTTCACAAGACAATTCTACAGTCCTGTAAAAAGAAGGTAATTACAATGTATTTAAAACCATTCCTCTTCAAAGTTCTCATCCTCAGGAAAAAAAAAAAAAATTAGATGTTAACTCAATTTGTTGGGATAATATTTTATAATATATACATATATCAAATCATTACATTGTACACCTAAAACTAGATTAGCTCTGCTAATCTGCTCACCTAATGGAACCAGTAAAATGATAACCAATGAAAAGCTCTGGAAACAGTCCCAAGGACAAAAGAAGAAACATCTATTCAACATGTAGAAAAATTCAGTAAGAAAGGAGAGATCTGTGGTTTTTAAACCAAGATCTATTCCTTGTTACCCACTATGAGTGAGGCAAAGACTCCTCTCCAGAGGAGAGAACTTGACTTGCCTTGACTGCAGAACACAAAGTTTCCTTTCACTGAAGCTCCCTTTTGGAGGGCTTTCTTCTGAGGAGCAGCAGGACTTCAGCTTACCTCATCCTGGCCCCAGGTACATATTGCTAAGTCCCAGGCAAGTGATGTCAAGAGATGGGCGTTCCCTTCTTCTGACAATCCCCCAATTTGTGGAACAAAGGCTATACCTTGGACACAATGCCACTGAGAAAACTGGAGTCCTGATCACAATTGCCCTGCCTTGTGAGGTGGTGGTTCCACCAGCAAGAGAAGCAAGCCAAGAGGATAACAGGCTCCTGCCCAGCCTCCCACTCTTGCCTTCATTGAGTGCTCAGCTTCTAGAGCAGGGGTGTCATTCAGAGAGAGGCTTGCCATTGACCTTATTACCCCCAGAGCTCCAGAGCTATCTGAGGGTAGAAACAGGTAATTAACAGTTTGTAATCTCTTCCCAAAGGAACTGATTTCATTTGCAATAGAGCATGGAGAAGTTCAAGCTCTTGAGAACTGTGGAGGATGTGATGAAAGGCAACTGGAAGATTTCTGGATTTAATAAAAATACAACCTAGATAATAGGCCAGACAGCTTACAGGAGAGAACTGAGACATAAATAAGCTGAGAGGAACCCTCCTATGGTCAGAACAAATACTAAAAGTAGACCCTCGGAACTATTCCTTCAAAGAAGCCACAATCAGGAGTGCCTGGGTGGCTCAGTTGGTTGAGCGGCTAACTCTTGATTTCAGCTCAGGTCATGATCTCACGATTCATGAGATCAAGCCCCTCACTGGTCTCTGTGCTGAGCATGGATTCTGTTTGGGATTCTCTCCCTCTCTCCCTCTCTCTCAATCCCCCCCCCCCGCCTTGTGCACTTTCTCTCTCTCCCTCAAAATAAACATTAAACAACAAAAAAAACAAACAAGAATCCAATAATCAGCAAAGCTATCTTTCAGAAATGCAGTCAAAATAAAGTCTTTACCAGATAAACAAAAATGGAGAGAATTTGTTGCCAGCAACAGTGTGTTGCCTTACAACAGATTCTAAAGGAAGTTCCTTATAAAAAGGAGGAAAAAGGGGCGCCTGGGTGGCGCAGTTGGTTGAGCGTCCGACTTCAGCCAGGTCACGATCTCGCGGTCTGTGAGTTCGAGCCCCGCGTCAGGCTCTGGGCTGATGGCTCAGAGCCTGGAGCCTGTTTCCGATTCTGTGTCTCCCTCTCTCTCTGCCCCTCGCCCGTTCATGCTCTGTCTCTCTCTGTCCCAAAAATAAATAAACGTTGAAAAAAAAAATTAAAAAAAATAAAAATAAAAATAAAAAGGAGGAAAAAGAAACAAAACAATGATGTCCACTCTTGAAAGCTATTTTACTAGAGGCTCTAATGAGGGAAATTAAGAAGAAAAAGAAATACAAGGCATCCAGACTGTAACAGCAGCAATCATCTCTATGTAGATGACATGATCGTTTATATAGCAAATCCTAAGAAATTTACCTACAACTATTAGAACTAAATAATGAGTTCAGCAAAGGTGCAGGATATCAAATCAACAGAAAAATCAGTTGCATTTATATAAATTACCAATGAACAATCCAAAAAATGAAATTAACAATTCCATTTACAATAGCTTAAAAAAAATGCTTAGGAATAATTTTAACAAAAGAAGTGCCAAGTTTATACTCTAAAAACCACACAACATTGTTGAAATAAAGACAGTCTAAATAAATGGGAAAACATCTCGTGTCCGTGGATCAAAAGATTTAACACATCATTAAGATGGTAATACTCTTAAACTGACCTATACATTCAATGCAATCCCTATCAGAATCTCATTGGACTTCTTTATAGAAACTGATAAGCTGAATTCCAAAATTCACGTGGAATTATAAGGGACCCAAATAGTCAAAACAATCTTTAAAAAATAGAACAAAATAATAGTAATGACACTTCCTGGTTTCAAAACTTATTACAAATCAATAGTAACCAAAACTGTGACTGGCATATGCAAAGACATACAAATTAATGGAACAGAATTGAAAGTACAGAAAAAACCGACACAGTGGTCAACTGATTTTCAAATGGGTGCCAGAACCATTCAATGGGGGCGAAATGGTCTTTTCAACAAATGGTACTGGAACAAATGGATAGCCATATGCTAAAGAATGAAAATGGGAGGCTTACATCATAACAAAATTGACTCAAAATGGATCAAAGACCTAAAGTTAAGAGGTTAAACTATCAAACACTTAGAAAAAGATACAGAGATAAATCTTTATGATCAAAGGTTTGGTAAAAGATTCTTAAATACGACACCAAAAGCACAAACAACATTAAAAATAAAGTGGACCTCACCAAAACTAAAAACTCGTGCTTCAGGGACCCCTGAGTGGCTCAGTTGGTTAAGCGTCCAACTTCAGCTCAGGTCATGATCTCACAGCTCCTGAGTTGGAACCCTGTGTCGCGCTCTGTGCTGACAGCTCAGAGCCTGGAGCCTGCTTCAGATTCTGTGTCTTCCTCTCTCTCTGACCCTCTCCAGCTCATGCTCTGTCTCTCTCAAAAATAAACATTTAAAAAATTTTTTTGTAAATACTTAAAAAAAGGGGTGCCTGGGTGGCTCAGTCGGTTGGGCGTCCAACTTTGGCTCAGGTTATGATCTCGCAGTCTGAGTTTGAGCCCCGCATCAGGCTCTGTGCTGACAGCTGACAGCTTAGAGCCTGGAGCCTGCTTCAGATTCTGTGTCCGGCTCTCTCTGCCCCTCCCCCGCTCTCACTGTGTGTCTCTCTCTCAAAAATAAAAACATAAAAAGAAAAATTTTAAATACTTAAAGAACTTGTACTTCATAGGGCAATCATCAAGAAAGTGAAAAGACAACAAAAAACAATGGCAGGAAATATTTGCAAATCATATAAATAACAAGGGTTTAATATCTAATATATGTAAACTGAAAAAAAACTCTTTACAACTCAATGATAAAAAGACAAATAACTCAATTTAAAAGTGGGTAAAGAGGGGCGCCTGGATGGCTCTGCTGGTTGAGTGTCTGACTCTTGATTTCAGCTCAGGTCATGATCTCAAGGTTTGTGGAATGAAGCCCTCTGTCAGGCTCTGTGCTGACAATGTGGAGCCTGGTTGGGATTTTCTCTCTCGCTCTCTCTTACCCATCCCTGACATGCGCACACACGTGTTTTCTCTCTCTGTCAAAATACATAAACATTAAAAAAAAAAAAGTGGGCAAAGGATGTAAATCTTTCTTTCTTTCTTTCCTCCCTCCCTTCCATTTTCTTTCTTTTTTCTTTCTTTCTTTCCTTCCTTCCTTCAAGGAGGATAAAGGGCCAATATGCACAGGAAAAGATGCTTGACATTATTAGTCATCAAAGAAATGCGAATCAAAACCACAATGAAATACCACTTCACACAAATTAAGAGGGCTAGAATCTTAAAGTCAGAGAATAACAAG